TTAAAACACAACAAGCGTGTGTGTAAATATTAAAAAAAAAGGCAATAAAACTACACAAAAACAAAACATGTGAATAAATTAAGTTTATTTGCTTTATAATAATAAGAATTTAGTATCAAAACTCAATAGTGAATGAATATCAATTGTTTTACAACGTGTAAAAGCATAAAACGTGTAATAATACGAAAAGCACCATAAATATCATCACCAGCAGCAGCTATTACAAAAACTACAACGTCAATAGCAGCACCATCGAAATCAGCAGCTGCAGTTATAACAAAAACAAAAACAGTAACAGCAGCACCATCGAAAACAGTAGCAGCAGTTATATAATAGCAAAAACAACAACAGCAATAGCAGCAACAGCGGAAACAGCAGCAGCAGCTATAACAAAAAAAAACAACATCAAAAGCAACAACAGTAGCAGTAGCAACAATGAATATTATCATCAAAGCAAGCAGCAATAACAGTAAAGTACAAAATCACTAATACATATTACACTCTAGATATTAAAATAATAAAATGTAAAAAATATATACACCTATATTCGCTTAAACTAATTAACTTCAGAGTATACAATTAGATAAACGCTATAAATCTTTTTTTTATATATATATATTAAATAAAAAATAATAATCTCGCATAAAAAGAAAAATGTTAAACGTTGAACGTTGTTTATCAGCAATAACACAATTGCTTCAACAAAATGCTGCACAGCAGGAAACTAGTATTAGGCACGATAAAGGATCGGACACACGCAAATCACTCACCAACATCTTCTAGGCGGCAATCCTACACCATCCTGCCCATTCTGTCCCAGCACATTATCCATGGAACATATATTCAATATCTGTCCAGCACTAGACAGTATTAGACAAAACACTTTAATTCTAGTAAATATCAAACATTGTTAAATACACCATCTTTTAAACTTTTTAATTTTATACTATTATATCGGAGGCGCTGGCCATAGTAGCTTGTACTCCTTTCTTACTATTAGGTTTAATATTTTGTATATTTTTCCTAATAAAATAATAACAATAATGGTATTAGGCAGAAAATAGAAATAGATCTAAAATACTTACAGCCATTGGAAGGCAATGCAAAAAAATTACCGGCATTTTTTGAGTCAATTGATAGGGTACTAGCTGATTAAGCAGGACAACAACAGGTAGTATTCAGAGTAGTTTACGATTTAAAAATTTTAGGACCTGCAAAAAGTTTCTTAGCATTGAATCCTCCAGAAAATTGGGATACATGCAAAATAAAATTAAAACAGCACAAAGGACCAGATGACTTTGACCAACGACATCACTAACCTTAGCGTGGGTAGTATCGGTGAACTTGGTAGGAAAACAAAAGAAATAATATTACCGAATATTGTGCTTTAGTGAAACAGGCGGTATGATAAAAGAAATATTTTCAGGAATGCTTATAAAAAGGGTAAAGCAACTTGCAGCAGGGACTTTCGCCTATATGAAACGGAATATACCACCGTGGGCAAACATGACAAATACGATCGATAATTTCATAGGGTTGGACGATGGAAATTTAAATCCTATATTTTTAGCAAGAAACAGAAATTTAAACTAATTTGCTCAGAAGGCACGAAATTTTAATAGTAACGAAAATCAAAATATTCAAAGAATAAACAACTTTATGAGACAAAATATTGGCGATCAAAACAATGATCGTTATTAGGCACAAAATAATTCGGGAAAATTAATTTTTCAGAGCAAAATAATTATCACCCAAATAATCCACAGAGACAAACTAATTATCGGACAGGCAATTCAGGCAAATATACAAATCAATATCGTAATAATAATATTAATAATAATAATAACGGCTATGGTAATCCAGCAAGACAAAATACATATACAGAACGTCACTCGGCAAAAAAGACGTTCAAATGGCCCAACACCCATGGATGTTGATGCTGTGAGCAGGACAGAGGAAACGAATAAAAACGAGGAAGTTTTTACCAATTAGCCTCGGAAAATCAAAATAAAATATTAATTTCACTTACTTTGTTTAATAAATAATGGTGTGCATTAGTAGACCCAGGCTCTACTATTAGTGTTATGAAAAAATCAAGCTTCGAACATTATAAGTTACCGGTTCTAGAAAAAAATAAAACAATAATTAGTACACTGAATGGTGAAATAAGAGCGTGTAACGAAAGAGTTAAGACACCATGTCTGCTAGAATTTAAATGCCCTCACAATGCTAGGATGAGATGGTTGAAAATAGACTTTGAAAAACCGTACGATCTTCTACTAGGAAACGATTTTATATTTAATAATTTCAATATAATCAATATTGAAAACGAAGAAATTGAGCTTAAAAATGGTGTTAAAATTCCGTTTTATTCAAAAACTATCCAAGAGCAGGTATATGCATTGGAAAGAAATAAAATGGAAAACAATCAATTGGATCATTTAAAATCAAATGAACGAAAGGAGGTTGAAAAATTGCTAAAGAAGTATGAAAAATTAATGTATAAAGAAGGAGATACCTTGGCAAACACAAAAACGGTGGTCCACGAAATAAGAACCACTACAAACCAGCATATCAATTCAAAGATATATAGGTTACCTCCGAAACATGAGGAAGAAGCCATAAGGCAAATTAGGGAGCTAGAAAAATAAGGTATAATTCGGAAAAGTAGAAGTAAATATAGTTCACCTATTATCATAGTACCAAAAAATGTGATACCGTGGGAAATAAAAAATTTCTGTTAGTAATCGATTACCGTAGACTAAATCAAATAACTGTCGATGATAAATGTCCTTTGCCAAACATTGATKGAATCTTAGACAAGTTACAAAGGTTACCATCAAATTTTAATGGATAAAAAGGAAATTGAAAAGACAGCTTTTGTATCTCCGGTGGGATTATACGAATATATAAGAATGCCCTTCGGACTAAAAAATGCTCCGGCTACCTTTCAACGATTAATGAATGACATTAAGAGAATACACAAATAAGATATGTGTCGTTTATTTGGACGACGGATTAATCAACGTCATTAGAGGAACATTTAAACTCATGAGGGAAGACTTTTTCAAAGTTAACCCTTAAATGCATGATGATGTATATATACATCAGTGTTTTTTTCCTTACATAATTTCTAAACGGTAACTCAAACACCGTACTTTTTACTTTTATTAGGTGCTAAAAATATCTATGTTGGTTTTTGAACGCAAACTTTCATGATATGACATTCACTTTTTAATTTTAATAATTTGACAGCTTGGCGCGCCACATACAAATACACACTTGGCGGTAAAATTGTAATTTCATTTTGGTGGATAGTAAATAGTATTATTACGTGCTAAAAGTGATTTATGAGAGGATAAAGGTAAGAAAAATACATTACATTGGTTTTATTTAGAACAATATGCACTAATGGTTGAGCTGTTACAGCAAAAACCTGAAATGGCGCAGGGTTTTACCAAGTGCCCTAAGGAAGAAGTGGCCGCTTTTTGGAACAATATGGCCCAAGAACTCAACAGTGTTGGTCCGCCTTTCAAGCATATTTCCAGCTGGAAGAAGGTAATATAATAAAGTTGTAGATTTTATTGTTGTAACAGGATAGTTTAAAGCTTGTTTGACTTATTTTTTATTAGGTATGTCTTGACTGGAAGGCCTACATAAAAAGAAAATTGGTTGAAAATAAAAAGGAGCAGACAGCTACTGGTGGCGGCAGAAATAGGCAGCACCATTTCAATGAATTGGAGGAAGCGGTGATAATACTAACGGCATTGGAAAAAAGCACAAGTGGTATTGCGAATACAGTGAGCATCGGCTTACTTATTGTAGCCGACGTGGGCAATGAGACAGAGGCCGACGAATCGATGCCATCAGTGACCTGCAGTCCAGCACTGCCTAGACGTACTACTAGGCCATCGGAAACATGTACAGCCTGTAGCTATGGAGAATTTGGTAGCTGCTAAGAATTCCATTAAACAGCAAATGTTAGAGGTAGAGGAAAAAAAAATTGCAAGCCATGACAAAAAATAATAAACTAATTAAATAAATACTTAATTAAAACTATAAATATTTTGTGTTGATATTTATTTAGGATATTATACTCGTGTAAGTGTTGCACATATAGCTTCTCTGATTTGTGAAGCTGCATCACTATAAGTTGATGAAAGAATTTCATTACTTGCTGTAAAAATATTTGGCATTAACGATTTGAGATGCCTTCGTAGTGAAGCTCACTACTCCACACCTGAGTTTCTTCAAACAATTTTTGATGAAACCAACTTATATGCAATACAAGAGAACCCTTCAGCAATTATATGGTAAAAGTAAGTTAATAAGCAAGTTGTAATTAGAATAAGCTTCATTTTAAGTAAATTTTATAAAATAAAGTGGTCTGTTCCTGATCGCCATCAAMGTCACCTCGTTGCAATACAAATTGATTTCTTTTACTTTTTTAAAAACCCGKTCACCGCGACGCAACACGAAATTCGCGCGCAACTTCTTTTTARTTAGAGTTTAGTTGCGCGCGAATTAAAACTTCGAAAACGAAGAAAAGAAAAGATTACTTTGCCGATACAGACGTGGCTAAAGAAATTGGGCGGGGCGCGTCAACATTCTCCCCGCCTTGCAGTATTACTTCAAATGCAGTTTGCAATAAATTATTTAAAACTAACTTAACTAACTGGCTCCTGCACTTCCTCTTCCAAGTCTTCTTTGCAGATGGGGTGGTCGACGAGACGAATCGAATCAAGTTCGGTCCGGGAAATGCCGCTGAAATGAATCGACTCTCAGTCGGTCATTGACATGCCGCCAATTTGTATAGAAGTCACCACCTTCCGAGGTCGGCTAGACGACTCGAGTCTAACTCGATCCTATGAAGGCGGTAAATGTGAGAGGCGTTGACAGCCAGTGCACTTTATCGTGCCGATATTTTCCCATGTGAGTTACATATTGTATTATTGACCCTATTATTTATGGTCATCACTTTTTGTACTTATTCACTATTCAGAAGTTACATATTTTACTATTCACCCTATTATTCATGGGCATTACTTTCCTACTTATTCAGCACATAATAGAATCACACATCATCATTCTTATTTGGTTCTTGAAAGCAGGTGGACTTATATATTTGAACGGTGCCAACCAATCTCTGTAAATTATATATATATATATATATTAATAAGAATATA